AATAATAATAATAATAATAATAATAATAATAATAATAATAATAATAATAATAATGTAACAACAACAACGGAAGAAAGCAATAGTAACAAATTTCTCCAAATAGCTGTTTTTTTAAGCAGATGTCAGTTTTCACTAATGAGGTTATTAGGAAACATCAATATTTTTTATTTCTGCAAAAAAAATGAAACAATATCTTCATTTCTTCTTCTTTCCCCTGCCCCCTCCTTAGCTGGGCTCTGAGTGGACTGCTCCAGGAGAATTCACAAAATTTAGCTCTCAAGTCTCGAAGCCAATCCGGTAGGTGCTTCCACCATATCCTTCCATTTTTCATTTTGACGGATAGACTGATCCTAAGAATTAAAGGAAGAATAATTCACTACTTTTGAAACTGACAAAGGGGAGCAGCCAAGTCATGAAGTGGAAGAATGGCTTTTCATTTTTCTTCAGGCTGTTTTGTTTTTGCTTTAATTCTCTCCACTAAAATCTGTGGAAGTGGAGGTTACTGTAGCCTCAAGAGTGCATAATCCATGGGCTCAATCTGAAAGCACTTAACGGAGGTAAGTTGAACTTTTGAATGGATAAGTCCAAGGCCAGCCACAGAGCACTCTGTTTTGGTTTCCTGTTGCTGATGGGAAGATTTTCTATGGGGAGTATTGGGATCTCCAGAACAGATTCAACCCAGCAGGAGAATCTTGTTCTCTTTCTTCAACCACCCTTCTGAATTTCCCAATTTTCTCACAGTCCCCTACTCAGGCCACTAGGCATTGACTCTTTCCAACAAGTCATGCAAAGAGCACATTGCAGAAAGACTTCATATTTCAGTATACTTATGTCAGAGTCTGTGTAATCTGCCCCCATTCAGCTTCAGTATTGAATTAGATCCATGAGATGGACAGAACTGGCCAGTTGAAGCCCTTTCCCCAAAGAGTTGCTCTGAACTTTTTGCTTGACCAGGTAGAATAATGACCTCCACATTGGAGGTGTGGTCGAAGTGGGGGGTTGCTTTTTTCAAAGAGCTTACAAATTCACAAATATCAGGTGGTCATATACCATGTAATTCCACATTTAGAAGTAACGTGTTGGGTATTAAGGAGAGTTGACTTTTAGAAGAAACAGGATGCTGAATAACAGCTATGAAAATATATTGAGGCAAGTAGAGAGTCCACAGCAAAGCGGGATTAGTTATGGCAAGCCCTTCCCTTACATACCTGTGTTGTGACCCAACTGTGGAGCAGGGCTTGCTCAGTAATAGCATTGGTATTACTTAATGCTATAAAACCACACATCTTTCTCCTTCTTTGCCAGTTAACCAGCCTAGTGAGTTCTTTTTTGCTGGTAATTGCCAATTGCCAGCTGAAAGCAGAGTAGTAACTGACCTGATTTCTGTTGTTTGTTTTGCTAACAGCAAACAACTAAAGTGCCGTTTTTATGTTGTTATTATGGTCAGTCACACAATTAGCCAGATGTTTTGGCATTGTTGATAGTGTTTAAATGCTGGTGATGTTTAAGTGGTGCTCCAGATGTTTTAGGATTGCACCCAAGATGCTTATCAGTATTGGTACTACCTTTGCTTTATTTTGCTATCGTCATTCTATTTGCAGGTCTTGTTATTTTGTGATTTATTATTATTTAATTTTCCAAAAATTGAGTTATGTCAGTTGACTTCACTGGCTTTAGACCCAACTTTCTTGACCCAAGGCCAGTTTTAATCCAAGTTCACAAAGCAATTTGCTACATTCTCATAACATTGTACTTCCAATCAAATAAACCACACCACAACTTAACATGATGGTCTTGCTTACATGGTGTGCTAAGACTGTACTTAAACTTCAACAAACATTGAACTGTAAACTGTCCACCCTCATTTTAGGCTCTGCAAACCCAGATTGTCTCTCTCAAAGCTGCTTAAAATGGCAGCTTTGTTTTGCTAACAGCAAACAACTAAAGTGCCATTTTTATGTTGTTATTATGGTCAGTCACACAATTAGCCAGATATTTTTCCATTAGCCTTCTTTCTTTTCTAACTGACTATCTGTTCTGTATCTTCTCTTTTTCCTTTACTGTCTTCTCTCCCTAGTTTACACTAAGGCCAGTCATTTTGAAGCTAAGCCACTTTCTGTCAAATTAGAAGTCTGACAGCTTCATTCCCATTGTTTTTATTCTTCTTTCAGTGAAGCTGGCAGCTCTCTTATGGCCACGTCTTCTTTTGCTCCATCAGTTCATTGTCAAAGCTGGACCTCTCTTGGCATTTTGCTGAAGAGGTGTTTCCCTTTTACACAAAATTGTTTTCTCTTGTTTTGTATCCTGTCAACAGAAAAACACAGGGCATTTAAGTAAGTGGGAGTCCTTCGAAGGTATCTGTTCTGATTCATATAGGATTTTCAGTATTGGAGCTGCAGAATCTCTTGGAAATGACTATTTTTCTCTATTTCAATACAGTGCATCCTGTGAAGGAAATCTGTAACTGCCCAAGGCAGCCTTTTCTACTATAAAGCAGCTGTTACCTTTAGGAAGTTCTCCTAATGTTTAATCAACATCTTTTTGGAATCTTCAGTCTCATTAGTTCTAGTTCTCTTTCTGGATACAGAACTTCTCTTCTGGTTCTTCTCATGGCAGAGTTACCATGTTTCCTGTCAATACATTATTTTCACATACGGTAAAATGGCTGCAGTTGTAACCCAGTGTGATGCAGAGACTAGGGCCAGGAAAACGTAGATTCAAATTGATCCCCAGCCATGGGAATTCACTACTGTCTTTGGGTCAGTCACTTTTCTTTCACCCCATTGTATCCCACAAGTTGTTTGGAGGGGGAGAAGGTAAAATGGGGGGTTTGTTTTTTATTTTGTTTTTTGCAGGGAGGGTCCTCCTAAACTGTAGACTGTCCATTCATGATTTTGTGAGTTTATGCTCTTTTAACACATATAAACTCCTTTGTCCTTTCCATGCAGCAAGGGATTGTTTCGCACATAGTTGTAATGGCATGAAAGTAATGTTTAAATAGATCTCTGTGAAGGTTACAAGCTTTATTTTCCTGCAAGTCACAGCCTATGCACTAGTTTCATTTCTCTCTCAATCCCAATATATATATTTGTCTTTTTCTCTGTCTCTCTTTTTCTTTGCATACCCTCTTTTTTCTCTGTGTATAACCTATGCTGTTATCATCAGACTGGAGGTGACGTGCAGGTCTTTCAGAGTTTCCTCGCTAGGGTCAAGACACTAACTGTTCCAAAGTTTTTAAGAGTTTTTAAATTTTTAAAAAAGTTTTAAAATGCATAAGTGCACCATCGTGCCTATCATCCCTGTCCTATTGTCCCCATTTATTCGTACCTCTTTCCTGTATTCTTACTCATGTTTGTACTTAAACTTATTATCTTGTAAGTAATTGACAAACTAACTGACAAACAAACTAACTAACTAACTAAATAAATAAATAAATAAATAAAATAATAATGAAGATGTGTGCTGAATGCTTATTGCTTTTCTCTGAGGCTAGAGGAGAGTGATGAGGACAGTCATTCAATAATTTAATAAAGTTTTATTTGGGTTTTCACACATACAAAATACAAGTAAAACATCTTTTTTGAAAATAGCATGGTCCCGGGTTGAACTTCTTTATATAGACACAAAACTCAATTTCATGCTCCTTTTTGTATTCTATTCCATATCTTATACTATTTTACATTTTCTATATAGTTTTTCCCCTCTTTTGATTTTCTTGATTTTAATTTGATTATCTCATCTCAATTCAAATCATTATATTTATACTTTTGTCTGTTCTGTTTCAATTTCATATTATCTTTTCTCATTAAACAAGTTTTCTCCTGTAGTTACTAATTGGAGTATGACACCCTTATATCTTTTAATTACATCCATTCAACTCTTATTTAAACTACCAATATATACCTTAAGGTTATGACCTTCAATATAATACATAATACATAACTTCCAATCGAATTCTGCTTGGTACATTCTTATAATACACACTATATTCTTTTTTTAAAAAAAAGATTGTAAATATATGTAATTATAAACCCTCATTCCATTCCAGTTCAGTTCTATCATTAATAATCATTAAAATCTTAACATCTTAAACACTTCTTTTCAATTAAATATCATACTTCCTTAAAAACACATAAAATCTCCATAATTAATTTTCCCTTATTTCTCTTCACATATGTTTTATAAATCATTAAATATACCTTTTATTACATTTATTTATTGACAAACATTCCACTGAATTACGATAGCTATTTTATCAGACATTTTAATCATACATTGTTTCATATTTTCTAAAATTATTTCTGTTTCTAATATACCCATACTATCTTATAGTATGAATCCCTTTGCAGAATCCCTTTTTCCATTAAATTTTCACCCATTATCTCTAAATAGGCCCTGTTTCTCTGTATTTTGTTTCTGTCCTTTATGACTTTTTTTCCTTTCTTTCTTCCCGCTCATCTTCTCCCTCCCCTTTTTACCCCCTTGTCTCTCTATTTCTAATTCTCTCTTCTGCATTTCCCTCTTCTGTTGCTTTCTGATTTTATACTTATTTTTCACTCTATTTTTTTTTGGAGTTGTTTTTCCCAATCTTAAACTTTCCATTCTCTTTCCCCCCTTTCCTTTTTTTTCCCCATCTAAGATTACTTGTTCATTAAAGATGGCTTCTTCTTTGTCACAATCTTCTTGTTCTGCAGGCATTTCTTGTTGTTTCTCATAATTCCAAATCTCCATTTCTAAAAACTGAAATACGAAGCCAAAAGAACCTCTCCCTTCTTGTGCATCTTCTTTGTACTTTTTAAGTTCCATTTTCAGTTCTTCTAAAAGTGGAGCTATTTTAAACAGTTTTAAACAACCACCCGATTGATTTTAGTCATTCAAAACAATAACCAAGAATCCAGAAATCATCAAGTAATCCAGATAGTCCCGAGTTATATCTTCTTATTTCTTTTTCGACTTTCTCTTCCTGGGGTTTTTGTTGCGATATTTCAGTTAGAATGTATCTTTTGGAAGTCTTGTTGAGATTTTGCTATAAGTTCTTTTTTAATTCCAGGCAGTCTCCTCCCTTCCAGATCCTGCCCTTTTATTCTTCCTCTCTCCTTTCCTGTTTTCAAAAGCTTTTAATTATCCAGAAATCTTTATTATCCCTTTGACTTTTTATTTTCAGCATTAAATGCCTATTGATGTCAAAGTGGATTTTTTTCCAATTTCTTACTTAAGTCTCTTAGCTGTCAGTATAGGAAAAGGAGAAAAAAAAACCAAATCTTTTCCCTTTTCTCTCTCCTTCTCACCTTAAAAATCTTCTTAGGGAACAATGTTATTGTTTTTTAATAGTTTCAATTCCAGGATATCTTATTTGTTGCTTTTGCTGTTTGACCCGGTCAACCAAAACTTTCTCCTCTTATCTTCCTCCTGCACATTCTTTTCCGGTCGAGTTCTTCTTTGTGGTGGCCATTTCTGACCACCGCTGCAACCGCCTTCGGGAAAGGGAGTAATGGCCAGCTGGGGAGGAGAGATGCGGCTCTCCTCAACCCTGCAGGCAGTCTCCCCACTCTTCACCACCTCTACAGGGTGGCTTAGCCCCGAAGCCAGCCGGCTCGGGGTGCTCCAGCGGCAAGCATGGATCAAAACCTCACAGAGGCAAGGTTTCGGTCTGTCGCTGAAGAAGCTCAAACCAGAAGTCCAGGAGCAAGTTTTCAAAGGTGTTTTATAGCCTTTCCATCATTAATAGCAATAGCACTTACTTATATACCGCTTCACAGTGCTTTACAGCTCTGTCTAAGCGGTTTACAGAGTCAGCATATTGCCCCCAACAATCAGGGTCCTCATTTTACCAACCTCGGAAGCATAGAAGACTGAGTCAACCTTGAGCCGATCAGGATCAAACTCCTGGCAATGGGCAAAGTTAACCTGCAATACTGCATTGTAACTACTGCACCACAAAAACTCTTAATGATTAAATAATTCCTTATTTCTGTTCCTGGAAATGATTTGATACAATCCTAACTTGAGAGCTTGTTACATTTTGGTTCCGTGTTTTTCATTTTTCTGGAAACTGTTGTTTTAAATGGAAGGGTCTAACTTTTGAACATTTGGCATTGTTTGACCAAGAGATATACATGAGCTGTACAGCATTTCTCCTAGTGCTAGTGTTTTCAAACTGATGGGGAGAGAGTTGTTATTTGCTGCAGACTGCCTTGCAAATGATTAGCTTGGGACATTGCCCACATTGAGGGATACAATTCGATGCAGGTCATTCCAATTTTTTATAAATCTGTGTGAAAATTCTTCACCTCAGACCAAGGGCAGATGGAGATTTACTTTCTAAACTTCATGAAAAGACCCAGAAGTCTCTCTGTTCTTCTTTTTTCTTAATGTTTAATGCCCAACATGCTTACCACAGCATGGGGTTCTTTGAAAAGGAAAGCCTTTGTACCTACTTCTTCCTTGAATAGCCCTGTGATCATGTAAAGGAAAAAGGATAAGAACAAAGAATCTAAGCTTGATGTAAACAGAAAATCCAAAGATAACCTGGCAACAGAAACAGGCTATTTAAGGCAGTTTAAAAGAAAGAAAAAATCAGAGATTAACCAAAAAAAATTTAAAAAGGTTTTCTATAGAGCATTTCAGTCAAAAAGCAGTATAATGCACTGTATTCATAAAAGAAAGATGGCCCTGAATGTATGATTTAACAATGAGGAAGAATTATAAGCAATTGGAATGCATTCATAGAGAAGACAATTCATCCATGGACCCTAAATGTTTCTCTAGAGTTCTCACTCTCAGTGAATCTCTTTGTCAAAAGTTATCTGCCTCCATTCAGTGAACATAAGATGATCCCTCCACTTTGTAGATAATTATTTGGAAAGGGGGCTCATATTCATTTTTGTTAGATTTGGTTAAATGCTAGTAGAATAGTAGAGAATTAAAAACTAATGAATCACTACGGGAAGTGAAATAAAGGGACTAGAAAACAATATCAGAAGAGAGTTCAAGCATCAACTGAAAATCTGTTTTTCAAAGAAGATTCATTAGATCCTTTTGTAGAATTGGTCTGATAAGGAAAAGGAACTTTAAATTTATTTAAGCATCTGTATAAAGTAGTGGTTGATCAATTCCTTCCCATTTCCCTTTTCAAGACCAGAGATTTTTGATACCTTTATTTACTTTCCTTAAGCAACTAAAGTTTCAGAAGTGCTAGTTTGAACTATGTTTCCAGAAATACTTGTCTTTCAAATGATATAATTCAGACAAACACTTGTTGAAGTAAAGAAATGGTGCAAAGTGGCCATTTTGTTTTTTTCTAAGGGTTTTTTTTTTTTTTTTTGGTGGAAGTGGAATGTTTCTGAAAAAGTGTAAACTAAGAATGTAAAGAGTTATCAATCAAGTACTTTCTGAGTATCTGAACCCTGTTATTTTGAATGAAGATACCACGGATTAAATATGGCTTCTCTAAGTTGATTGTGACACATTTGGGCAGGTCTTTGAGGTCAGTTATATCATGGCTTCCTGTGGTCTTTGGAGTAAACTACCTATAATGCTCTTGTTCTTAGCAAATTCTGGGTAGCCCAATATTGTTGCTATTAGAAAAATGTCCATCATTTCTGCAAAGATAGTGCCACAGCTAAGTCAGCAAGCCTCAGCTAAAGTTAGTAAGTCTCCATCTTATATTTTGGGAGGCTGCGCCTTGTTTTTCCATGTAGAGTCTTCTTGTTTTTTTCCCAGGGCTTAAGAAGCCCTAATTTACAAAATTATCAAACTTCATTCAACTCTGGGGAGTTTGTATTGTTATTAAAATGAATAACACACTGCATTGATTGAGTTTCTTAGCTGGTTCAAAGCAGTCTTCTGGCTCCCTGGATGGAAGATGGGTATGGTTTCCATGGCAGCAGCAGCAACATGCAGTGCACCAAGCCAACAAGGAGGATTTTAGGAGACTTCTGCTCTCACCAATCAGAACTGACAGGCAGCAGTGCTACCATGGCAGGAACTCTGCTGTAGCTGCAGCTCATCTATCTCCCCTGTGTCAGCTGGGGGCAGTCATCTATTATAGCTAGAATTACTGACAGCATCCTCTTTGCCTTTGTTCTAATTCTTTTTATTCCTTCTATGCTTTATCTCCTTCATAGCAAAGATAGCTTTCTGAATGCTTGAAGTTTTTCCACAGATCCTTCAGTACTGCATTGTATTTGAAATTTAAAAGCTATAGTCAAAGTTATGCATATGTGATTTAGAAATACATACAGGGTTTGGATCAAAACTTCCCTTCTGAATGAATGAAGAAAGTCCAGTTTTATTTGCATAAACAAAAACAGAAGACATGTTCAAAGTTGTCATGATTGCATTTTAATTATTTGTTTGTTTATTTGTTACCCATCTTGCTGTAAGGTGACACTGGGCAGCTAAAAGCCTACAAAGAGGCAAAGTGTTGAATATATAGGATCAATGACTAAGCAAAGTATATAGAATAGAATAGAATAGAATAGAATAGAATAGAATAGAATAGAATAGAATAGAATAGAATA